TAAAGGATTCTATGATTCTATAAAAAGTAATAAAACAAAGCTAAATTCATGCTAGCTTGGGTATAAATAATCATTACTTTTTCCTCCCCTTGCAAAATATATGTCAACAGGTCCTGCAGGAGGACAGCCTGGGCACAGCCAGGAATGGCCAGCAGCACACAATATGCACAGCAACACACAGAAACTGTGCACCTGTACAAAAATATTTCAGGCAACTTTTTAAGGCTAAATCAGCTTGTCTGAGTTTTTCAAATATGCCTTGTAAAAAAAGATAAAACCTGTTTTCATTATTGGAGATGATAAAAAAAGCTTCAGAACTGACCACCACTGAAGACTATGCTCTGCTCTGTCTGTAAATTGAGCATAGTTACCTACAAAACACTTCCAAAAGTTTGCAATTCAGAGACTCAAAAATATATTTTTGAGTGTAAGCGCTTTCCACATTAAATATCAAGCTCAAACTGGATGCAAGTTGTTATACAATACTAAGTCATACTAAATCAGGAGAACCAAAGCACTGGAATAAAAACAAGAATTTGCTTTCTAAAAAGCCACTTGAGTGACATGAAATATTACAGTATTTTATTCCAAATTAGAACACATATACTTCAGTTTGATAATTCTACTGTTCAGGGTACTATGTAATTCACTAAAAACTCATGTGAAAATATTAAGACTTTTCGCAAGTCAAAGATGCTAGTTGAGATACTTTAAACAGAAAAGTGAATTACCAACTAAACACTACTACCCAAAACATATTGCTGCAGCTTGCAGAAGCAAATGTTCATCTTATTTACCCATTCTAGTGCATCTTCAAAACTGATTCTTCACTTCTGTACATTCACAGTCATACTCAAACAAATAAGGTACCCTGTTAACTTACATATTTTTTTGTGTATGTGGTTTTGTTGTGGTTTACATCATGTTTTGGGTTTTATTTAAAAGTACATTGTAAAAATTTGAAGGGGTCTTGTTGTTTTGGGGTTTTTTTTGAAAGGTGAAAAGAGGTTAGGTGTTCTGTTAACCATTATGAAAAAAAACTGACCTAGAGGCTTAGGAGCAATATTCTTCCACATGAACACCTGCCTGCTTCTCTTATTTATTAGTCAGTATCACTGCTTTCATTATTCTTTTGGGTTTTGTTGCTATTTGAGCTAACATAATTCCCCCTTCCTGAAGGATTTGGACAATAGGTGATCTTCTAATATACACTGGAGCCAATACTCTAGAAAACTTTTTAATCCAAAATGTTGAGTCATAAGTAGCAATAAAATAGAAATATTTATTTCCAAATTCTTATTGCAAATCAGAATTTCTTACCAACCACTGTACACAATTTACAAAGTTCTCACAAGCAGGATGTCATATGACATGTAATGACTTTGTAACTGAATGAATGACTGGCTAACACACTCTTTTTTAAACCTGTATTTTGTTAGTGAACTCACTATAACTTGGCTAGAAGAAAGAAGTTGATGTTCCTTTAATATTCCACCCTATTTTTTTCATTACAATGTTTTCATCTAAAGGAACCAAATATTCTCTGAGAACAGCATATATGCACAATTGCTTACCTTCCTTCTTCCCTGTTTTGAGAAGTAAAATATCATAAATAATGCTGGAAGCATCTTATTAAACGTGATTTAGCGTGTAAAAAAGATTTCTAAAGAAACACCTAGATTTTCTCAACACAGTCACCAGAGCTCTATTCCATAAAATATATGAGTATTAGCCCATGTCAAAAGCACCCAAATATTTTATTAACAATTAAAACAGTATAGCTTTTGTGGACTGCATCGATTCTTCATAATGAGCTCTTCAGGAAGTAAAATCTTTGCGTCGTTGTAAAATTTGACCTTAAGTTCCATACGCAAATTATTTCCCAAAATCCAGAGTTAACAAGGATTGAGAACACAAAAAGATATAGTTTCTCACCTTTGTCTTTATGTAGAATGGTGATGACTGGTGAATAGGCAAGTCCGTGAGGCTATTGGAATTAGGGACACTGTTACTGTTAGCATGTTCATCTTCTCTACTACTGTCATCAGACTGATCGAAATCATCACTCTCCTGGTCCATTTCCTCCTCCTCTTCCACCTCCTCCTCTTGATCACCAGCATGTTCATCATCATCTTCCTCTTGGTTACAAGTGGATTCTTCATCCACTGTAATAAGTCTATTGTTATTTTCTTCTAATTGCTCCTGCTGAGTCTCATGCCTCTCATCAAATCCAGGTTCTTCCCCTCCTATCTCCCCATTCCTCCCAATGTGCTGCTCCTCTTGTTGTCGTCTTTGCTGCTGCTCCTCCTCTTCTACGACCCGATTCATCTGCTCCTCATCTACTTGGCTTGAGGAAGCATTACCTCGAAGGGATCCACCCGTTCGTCGCCTCTTGCTGCCCACAGAGAGCAGTTCCTGATTCATTTCCAAAAGCCAGCTTGCTACTTCTTGGACCTTGGCTAGGCTATCTGAAGATGCAAATGCTTTCACATTCTAAGGAAACAAAAACAGAAAAAGTGGGAAATTAGACAAGTTAGAATTTTTATTAGATAAAGCATTACAAATTTATTTCATTGCATTACTCCTGCCAACTCTAAATTCTAAGAAAGAAAGAATAATTTCTGCTTGACAGAACTGAAAAAAAAACAAACAGGCTGCAGACAACTTTGTAGCAAAAGAGTTATTTCTTCTACCAGTCTGATCCTGATCTCTGTAAGCATCAGATTCCGCAAAATTCAGAAGAGCTACTTACTCTCCTAGAGAATCCACAAGAATAATTAGAATTCATGTTAATAGAAGATTTAAGTATGTGATATTTCTTGCTAAAAACTGGACAAAGATAATTTTCAACTGGCATTATATTTTCGATCTCATTTGACTATGGACTTTACGCGTTACTCACAAATGGTGAATTGATTTTGGTCTTATGCCTTAAAAGCAGGCACATTTCCAGGTATAATTCAAAGTTTCATTTCTTGCGACTATGATTCTCTTTTAGATGAGTGAAAAAAAGAATACAGCCTTATCAAAGCCAAGTCTCAAAGTTGCCACAGAAATGTCCAGTGGTCAAAAGCTGACACCACTGGGCAGACCATGCAACACATACCTTGCCTGGCAAAAAAAAACCAAACCAAACCAAACCAAACAAACAAAAAAACCCCACTGTTTGCAGTAAAGTTCTCCAAGCTCTAAGAAACTACAAGAACCATTAAATAAGATCCAGAGAAGATAAAAAATGGCCAAATTTAAATGAATTTTAATAGAAATTGAAAAATACTAATGCACTTTCCAAAATTATCCACACATTCAGCCACATGTGCGTGCAAGCAATATACAAGAAGAGAGGGAAATAACACAATCCATCTACATCTTAAATTTAGTATTAGATTCCCAGCTATACAAGCTTTGAGGCTGGCATATTGCGACTGTAGTTCCCCTAGGTTCAAGTGTTGACTTTGTGAAGTCAGATGTGAATTCAACAAGTACTCAGATTCACAAGTTGCACATGAAAATCTGTGCAAAAAGAAAATAAATAGCTTTTTCACTGTGTATAGAACCACTGTCCTTGGGTGTCCATAGACCTCACCATAAACTCAGCAGGCTATGCTATAAGGAGGAGTTTCTGAAAGCACACTGTGATACTGAAAAGAGCATGACTGTGGCGTCTCCTTGGAGTAGCAGTGAAGGATATAAGTTTTCATGAGTACTTCACTACAGGAAAATACTCTCCTAACCTCTCCATCCCCTTTCCTTTTTTAAGGAAAGTCCTCTATCTCTTATAGTTTCAAAACAACCAAAAAAATCAAACCAAAAAAACCTAGAGCCTTAGACAACAGGAGTGTGGAACAGATAAACCTCAACTTCCCAACCTTGCCCCACGACATTTGAAAAAACAGTAAACTTATTGGTGAGGAGGGAAGAAAGTACCAAAAACCATACCTCTAAGTTAATTTTAATTGTGTTATACCAAAAAAAGCCACAGAAACACATTTACAGATGTTTCTTAAGTCTTGCATTGAGACGGATTCATAGATGGGATTTCTGCACACCTTGTCCCCACTTCCTCAGGGAAACATTACCTACATCCCAAAGGTGCAGCTCTCAAGTTTCCACGTATCTACCCAGATGGCTATTGTCCCCAGATAAAACCTTATAAGCTCAAAGCATGAAATATGTCTTCCAAAGAAAGCATCCACTAGCAATTACATCTAATCAGCAAGTAAGAAATTAATATTAAAAGACAATTAAGCCTTACACATCAAGGCAGGGACATGATGGACACAAGCAGAGGCTCTGCTGAATCCTGCTTTTACCACTGGAAAAAAAAGCACTAGGGCACTGGGGTGCATATGACCCAGACCTGATGCTAATGACTCCAACCTTGAGTATAAAGTGCATCAAAGGTGACTGTTTTGTTTACTCTATACAGAAAAGTAGCATTTAAAAAAAGTGCGCTCTGCAAGAGGAATGTTTTCACTTAACACATTTTTCCCCAAAGCCTGGAAACCTTAGCATATTGGGGCAAAGTTTAATAACTCTGTTTCATCAAATGTCAAATTTGGTTGCATATATAATCTGTTAACACAACCTATTCATCAGGCTTAGTTCAGGCATTATGAACATGCCAACAGTTCATCTTATTTTCTCTTGAAAAAAGAACAAATTGTTTAATGCTTAAAAAAACCCAACACGTAAAAGTCATTTTAATAATAAAAGAAGACCAAACAATATCTACATATTCACAATCTACCAATTTTAGCTTCTACCATAAATGATTCTGTAAAAAGCCATGATGGAAGCTTAAAAGTTTTAATTGCATTTCTTCAGTGTCAACGGCCTTATTTCAAACATATGCATCAGTTGGTGGTTTAGGGTTTACTTGATAAAACTGCAAACACTGCATTTGTTTCCATAATTTAATACATACTTTCAATTTGTATTTATAAGCAACCAACATGAAAGGTCAGCATTGAAATACTTAAGTAATAAAATGCACAATTCTGCTAAATGCTTAAGTGACAAAAATAACACTGTGGTTGCTATGAATATACCCAAATTAAATCCCAGCCAGTTAAAAAAAAAAAAAAAAGAACTTACACTAGTACCATAACATATTTTTAATTATTCCTACATTTTTGTAATGACCATAAATTCCCAAAATTAGCCGCAATCGTGATTTCAGTTTTACTCTGTAATTGCACAAATCAACTCATTTTTTCCAGAAGACTGCAAAATGCATTATCAAAATTTAATTACAAGCAGTGCCACATCAGAAATCATCAATATGCAAAGAGGTGATACATTCTCTACAGAACAGATGGATGTACATTATCTGAAAGATTTGAAACATTAAAGCTGCCTCCTGTCACATTAAGTGCTTTCAGAATTAACTACTGTCATCTAATACACAAGATACAATCATTTACATATATAGGGTAAATAAGGAATAAGATTGGATTATTATTTGCAGAAAGAAGTGTATTTACAAATCAGCTACCAGAGAACTGAAATACTGTGTTTTCAGCTAAGCTAAAGCCCAGCAGATCCAAGGAGGAAAGCTGTTGCTCTCCTACCCACCTCAGACTCTGAAGAAATTTTTTTAGACAGACACCAAAACATTGCAGTGTGGTGGCAACTCCTTGCCTAAACAAGCAATACGCATTAAACTTGGTCAACTAGTCTAACTTGACAACTCCCAAGTTGTCTCTAAGTTTCACAACACTTGCAGCTGATCTTATGGAAAAACAAAATACAAGGAATCCCTGGTGAATATGTCTCCCATCTATATCAAGGACTAAATGCTGCTTAAGCAGTATTCTTCAGCTTTATCCATCAAATTTGCACAGAAAACAGATTAAAAAAATGACCAAGAACAACAGTTGCTCAAAATCACCTGTAAAAAATGCCAAGAAACACTGGGAAACTGCAGAGAAAACTCACGTTTATCTATCACAAAAGGTTGCATTCTGTACTGAGAGAGAAGGACAACCACTTTTTGCTTTACTGATGAAATATCTCTGTCCCTCTAGCTAGATTGAAAAGTTGTTAAACATTTTCAACCTGTAAAACCATGTAACTCTAATAAATCTCCATCAGCACTGCTGTTGTTTATTATTCCTTTTTCATCACTTGAAATTGTAACAAAAAAAAGGGAAATGAGGTGGCTGCAGGAGGGTGAGGCTGAGGGTTAGAAGGTAGGGCAGGTGTTGTTTTAACAAAGCATAGCAGAACTTGATTTATTTTTTTTTTTTTAAATTAACTTGGGAAATTAGAAAGTTAGACTGACTTGAATTCTAAACTAAGTCATGTTAATACTTATCGGGACAGCAGTTAGTGAAAAAGACAGAACAGTTACAGTCACAACATAGTTTATGGGCAGTGGATGCTTCAAGAACAAATCTTAAGATTACAGACTTGGTGGACAAAGACAACTGGACTAACACAAAATTTTCTGTAGCTATTTGACTAGATGTATGAATACAAATAACCCAGTAAAAAAGCTGAGCTATAGTAAACTGAGTAATACTGAATTATAATTGAGGCACATAGTAAAAAAGGAACAGGATCTCCAGCAATGTGCACTCACAATCCAGAATGCCAACCAGATCCTGAGTTGCATCAAAAGCAGCATGGCCAACAAGTCAAGGGAGGTGATCTGCCTCTGCTCTACTCTGGTGAGACCCCACCTGGAGTTCTGTGTCCAGCTCTGGAGTCCTCAGCAGAGGGAAAACACAGACATCTTGGAAGGGGTCCAGAGGAGGATGACAAAAATTATCAGAGGGCTGCAACACCTGTCTTGTGAGGAAAGTCAGAGAGTTTGGATTGTTCAGCCTGCAGAAGGCTCTAGGGAGACCGTACTGCAGCCTTTCAGTACTTAAAGGGGGCTTATATGAAAGATGGGGACAGACTTTTTAGCAGGCCCTGCTGCAACAGGACAAGGGGTAATGGTTTTCAACTAAAAAAGAGTAGGTTCAGACTATACATAAGGAAGATATTTTTTATGATGAGGGTGGTGAAACACTGGCCCAGGCTCCTCATCCCTGGAGACATGCAAGGTCTAGTTGGACTGGGTTTTGAGCAACCTGATCTAGTTAAAGATGTCTCTGCTCACTGCAGGGGGCTTGGACTAGATGACCTTCAAAGGTGCCTTCCAATCCAAACCATTCTGTGATTTTATGATCCCTAACTAACTCCTGAAAGAAAGATAAAATCCTCATAAGCACACTTTGCCCAAGATCGACACTGACATGTTGGCAATTTAAAACCAGGGCTACTTCAGCAAGCAGTGCAGCGGGGCAAGTGTGCAAAGCTGAGACTCAGCATCCACAGGACATGGGCTCTGAGGAGGGGAAAGGACCCACTCTAACCCCCGGGGCCTGAACTGACCCTCAGAGCTGGAGCCCATCTGATTCAGTTTCATGCAG